TGTTTGATGTCACTGTATTACTTGTGTGTGTGTGTATGTGTATATATATGAAATTTTAAAATTCAAATGATACACAAATATCAAAATGAATCTTGAAAGTCTACATTCAAGTAAGTATGTACTATTTATGGTAAAGGTAATTATGGAATACATTTTAGAAAAAATTTGAAAATGTGTACTTATTGACAATTATTTGATGAAAAAGATGACTCAAAAGAGGATAAATTTGAAGATGGTATTTAAAGCCAAATAAATTTAAAAAAAAATATTCATATCTCATTATCTCTTGATACTGTTCAACGGAGTGTAATTCTGATCCTTGAGTAGAACTTGGGATCATGGGTACTTGCTGATGAGTGATGACTGAATGAATTATATTTTCTCGAGAATTCACTATCGAAGGTATTTTTAACTTGCATATGACTGACTATTTCTCTCTGAAGCCATACTGAACTCGCTCTAGAACTTACACATCAAGTTTTATGGTAGCTTAGCTCTCTCTCTACTTCTTTCAACCCTTCTGGGTTGTTTTTCCATGAGAAACAGTATGTTTCCTTAGTCTTATAGCTGTACTTGAATGCCTGATCGGGTTGCACATACCAATCACATTGTGAACCACACCATGCTTTATCCCTCTCTGCGTTGTAATTAAATCTGTAGGGAGGCACCTCCTGCCATTGCACATCACAGGTAAACTTTGTACTCCCCCAGAAATTCACCCGAAAATGCCATTGGAAGTATGTAAGATATGGGAGTACTTGGGGTCCAAGGTCATCCTCAGTAGATCTACAGTGAAGGTTGAGGGTCACTCCTCCAGGTCATTTATCACTCGAACAGTAGTTTTTGTGAATGCTGCTTGGCACACTGTGAGGAAGAAGAGCAGTAGCCCAAGAACAATAATGTGGGTGATCAAAGAAAAGAACTCATTCAGCTTTTCTTTGAGCATGTACTCAGGGTATGGAGTGAGGCTGGTCTTCTCTCAATATGCAGCTTTTTGCTAGAAATCTGATTAAAGAATGGTGGCTATGAGGTCCCCCCCACCCTGCTGCTATCATGGTATTTAAGGAGATTCTCAGACTTCTGAACATCTTTTTAAGATTTTAGTAATCCTTTTTATGAATCCAAACAAGATTTTTGTAATCTTGCTGCAAATTTTCTTAGGAATATTCCTTAGGGTTTTCTCATTTTTAATAAGTCTTTATATTCTAATACAAAGCAATGCTATTGAGACCTAATTTATTGACTTAATTCACTATAACATTTGGATTGACTGTGAACTCTATCAAATATTAGAACTTGGTATTAATCTAATGATTCCAAAAACGCCATGTCATTAGGTCAATAATTTATGTCAAATTTTTAGGTCCAAATAATATTTTTCCCTAATAAAACACTCGGGGTTTTCTCATTTTTGTGTTTGTACGTGTAAGAGGGCACAATTGTGTGAACATGAAGGTGTTGTGCGGATAAAGAGGCACCAACATATATTTATCGTAGGGGTTACAATTTTTGTCATCACAACACCGTTCAAACCAGATACAAAATTAACGAGCTAAAATTGATTATCTCTTGATGCGAACTCAAAAAATGACACGATTAGTTAACACTAATAAAAAAATGGATCAAATGTGTGCCAAACATGAATAATATAAAATTAACATATTTAACTAGTATTATATAAATAAAATGTCGGATTTTTTTCATTTGTTTTTACTCTTTTATGGTTTTAGTGAATTGTTAGTGTTAAATCATGTTTCTAATTGACTAATTTTGTGGAGTTCATTGTAAAATCTCAACATATTATATGATCATGATGTTAGTAAGTTCAAGATCCGAAAGCGTCATTGAAAGGAAAATATCAAGCGTCAAAATTACATTATTCAACCTCTGTATGAATGTTCATGCTTGAGATAAAGATAATGACCTACACACCAATGATGAACCCTTAGTTAATTCTAACTTAGGTTGATTAGGATGAAGTGATTCGATTATGACTCCTAATTGATTTTAAAAGAAAAAATTTTCTAAACCATTTATAAGTTTTGGAAATATAGTTTGAGTCACAATAAATTTTTTTTTTTGAGCAACACCTTTTAGTGTTCAAGAGAGGACAAGTTTTTGCATGGTTTTATACTTAAAAACTTGTAGGGACCGATTTACACTTTCTAACATTTGTTAGAGCGGTCTCTTTATAATTTGAGGAATGAAATGAGAAAAGATCACAAAAGGTAGCACATGACTCACTGTATGAGCTCACTCGAGCAGTGCCTGCCTTAGTCTTATTTGAAACATTATTTTCACTCCAACGACAACCGCCCTCCCATTGATTGAGCGGTTGTTCACGAATCTTAATTTTTTTATTTACTAAGATTTTCTTTATTTCGGACATATAAATAAGGAGAACATTTCCCATACTTAGGTTAACCCTCTTTAGCCTCTAGAGAGATTTCAAAGAGAGAAATTCATTCCTTTACCTTGAGAACTTTTATTGCAACCTAGATCCATAAGATTTAAAAGTTACCACTAGAAATTCTACTCAATCTCACAAATTGGAGTTGAAGATCTTGATGATTCAATAAATTTATTTGTGTATGCATACTGAGGATTGTGGATATGTCCATAATCGCTCGAGGCCTAGATGAACTGTGCGGCGGGGAGGTCTAAGTGAAGTTACACTAGACGTTGGAGGGGAACTTTCGGCGAAGAGACATAGCATGGAAATGAGTTTCTAACCATGATATTAGTTGATGTATAAGTCTTGAGTACTTTTATGTTAATTGAGCAAGTAGTGGATTAGAGTTTGGTAAACCCTGAGTGGTTCCCTGCAATTTTTCTTAAGACGAATTTTCGTGTCAATAAATCACTTGTATTCTTTACTTTCTATTATATTCACTTGTAATTGTTAGCACACATGAGCACTATGTTTTTGTTGGAATAATTGATTGAAAATTCATCCATACATAGTTGTACATTGAGTTCAGGTTTTGGGATCGCCGTGAGATTGATTAAAAGTGAATTAATTGCACATTAATTAAAATCCATCATCATGGTTAAAAGTGGTTATGGTATATAAAATTGGTTCACATTTTTTGCTTAATACTTGTGAGAATAAGTAATTGTGGTAGACATAGACTTTAATTGGTAATCAATTTGAGCTAAAATTAAAAAATCTATTCACCCCCTCTAGGTATACTATCTTGGTCTCTACATATATAATCGTAAGGGAAATTCATATCGGGTTGCCCTTCCTAGAACAACAGTTAGTTTTATGAAAAAAATTATGAGTGTGAGTTTGTTGAAGAGATAATGAAGCCTTAAGTTTAATTTTTTGATTAAGGGGTTTTATGGGTGAAAATTTGAAAGCTCCACGATAATGAACCAATCGGATTAGTATAAAAATATTTTACACGATTAATTAAATAAAATGAGTTTAGATTAACTAATGTTGGATACAAATGTAAACTCTATTTTATTTTATATCTTAAATTTTGTAGCTTTGAATGCTTGAATTCCTTGTTTATGCCTTAAAATAATATTTCTTTTCTAATTAATTCAAAAATGTGGTAGAATAAAAATATGATTGAGATTTGATAACCAAGTGAGTCAACATTTATATGCTTAAAAAAAGTTAAATATTTGAGAAAACAGAGTTGTATAATTTATCATTTCTACAAGTCTTTCTTGTTAATGACGTATTTTGGGTGTTATACACTAACTAGAAAAAAAATGTTGAGTCCTAATAACAAATATTATTGGTAAACATATAATTGGTGTGTTGATGGAAATGATAAAATTGAAAGAAAATATTCTATTGATGGAGTATAAAACTTCTTGGGAACAAATTATCAAAAGTAGGACTAAATTGTCCTAAGATAAACATGATATGACTTGATGATTCTTTTGGTGGAAAAATAGGACTTGTTGATAATTTCAAGAACATACTTATATGATTTATATTGTTGGAGTGCATTCATTTGAAGCTTTATGAAGTGATTAGCTTCACTTTACCCAAATGACTTTGTTAAGAATGACAATACATCGTACCATATTGGGTTCATGCCATATCTAAGTTGAATCGTATAAAATTTGTTCAACTTCAACCTACTCTTAATGTATTTATAATTATGTAAAATTGAGTTCATATCATATCATGTTCGTATTATTTATAAATCATGTATTGTATGGTTTGAATGGACCCATCTATCAAGCAGTCTTAGTGGTTCCACCCAATTATGCTCAGGCCTATTCAATTTAAATCGATTCTCAACAATTTCGTATTAGTTTTGTATCAAATTAACAAATTGTATTAGAATTATTGAATCTAGCTTTTACATTAAAATGTGCCAAAGTTATGCTAGGATTGAGCCTACCCTAGCCTTATATGGTGAGAACTTGTTCATATGCACATAACGATTGAAACAGTAATACGAATCGAGAGTACCGAAAAATGTTACGTTGTTCAGGATATATCTTGAATTTGTTAAATTTTTGGACACCTTCGTTCCTTCAAGTCATCAATGTCATAGATTTCATAATTCTAGAAAATTTTATTTAATAATGACTTTGTCATAGAAGTTAGAGTTGACAACACATTGATTCTAAGCTTTAGTATCACTAGTTATGGGTTGAGATTGAGGTTAATGCAAATTCAACTCAAGTTATAAAACTATAGAACCGGAGTACTACATATACTTAAATACTTAATTCAATTCTCATGTTAAAATTCTGAATTATTTCACATCCAAAATTGGGGTTAATTCTCGGATTCCATAATTTTTGGATTAAACCCCAATTTACTAATTTGGATTGTCTCCCTGAAACCCGAGACACCTTTCTAAGTACTATCCGAATTTAAATGGATTGAAATTTTTAAATAGAAAGTAACATAATTCATCTATCATCAGTAAACCAGCACTTCGCTAAGAAGGCGCCCATTTATTTATTTTTAACATGCATGACACTATTTTCTCTCTGGAGCCTCTAGAAAATTACACATTGTTTCATGGTAGCTTAGCTCCGTCTACTTCTTCTTCCAACCCTTTTGGGTTCGTTGGCCAGAAGACACATACCGAGCTATTAGTCTTATGGCTATACTGGCATGCCCTATTGCGTTGTACATACCAATCACATTGTGACCCACAGAATGCTTCATCTGTCTCTCCGTCGAAAACTTTGCAGGATCGAGAAGACACCCCTGGCCACTGCCAGTCACAGGTAAATTTCGTAGTCCCAAAGAAATTCACCAGAAACTGCCATTGGAAGTACGTATGATATGGGAGTACTTTTGGTCCAAGGTCATCCTCAGTAGATCTACAGTGACTGTAAAGGGTCACGCCTGGTCCGAGGTCATTTATCACTCGCACAGTTGTTTTTGTGAGAGCTGCTTGGCACACTGTGAAGAAGAAGAAGAATAACCCAAGAACCACAATGTGGGTGATCAAAGAACTCATTGATCTTTTCTTTGAGCTTGTACTTTAGGGTGTAGAGTGCGGTTGGTCTGCTGTGAATTTGCGCCATTTTATATGCAAAGATGAGATAAATGCATAGGTAAAAGATAAGGAGGTTTTCCCCAAACCCTTCTCCCCCAAATCTTTATTCAGCTTGTTTTAAACTAATTTTTTAATTCAGCCTGTTTTTAAAGACATTATTTGAAATGACTTCTTAAAACATCATTTTAAATGATATTTTTAAATTGAATTTTTTTTATAAAAAATATCATTTAAAATAATATTTTTAAACTGAATTTTTTTTATAAAAAACGTCATTCAAAATGATGTTTTTAAAATTGTCATTTTTAATGACATTTTTTAAAAATTAACGTCAACTAATAGATATTAAAAAAAATGAGAGGTAAAAACCGTTATTTACAGTGACGTTTTTAAAAATGTCATTGTAAACAATGTTTTTCTATGACCAAACAATCAACTTTACGTCTCCAACTAATTTGTAATGAAGTTGGTTCATTGGAATGACTTTTTTTACCTCTATTTTTTTTAATGCATGTTAGTTGTTGTTTAAATTTTTTTTAAAAAAAACGTTAAAAATGACAATTTTAAAAATATCATTTTAAATGATGTTTTTGATAAAAAAAAAATTCAATTTAAAAACATCATTCGAAATGACGTTTTAACCCATAAAAGAAGATAAGTCTTCTTCAACGTATTCTCAATATGCAACTTTTAGCTAGAAATCTGATTAAAGAATGGTGGCTATGAGGTCAGTACTCACCTGCTATCATGGTATGTAAGGAAATTCTTTTACTTATGAACATCTTATTAGGATTTTAGTAATCCTTTTAATGAATCTGAACAAGATTTTAGTAATCTTGCTGCAAATTTTGTTAGGAATAAGTCTTTTTTTCTAATAAAACATTTGGGATTTCCATTTTTGTTTTTGTATGTGTAAGAGGGTACAATCGAGTGGATAAATATAGGCAATAGCATATATTCGTAAGGATGGTAATTTTTGATTCAATAATACGATTTAAAGTCGATATGAAATTAACGGGTTAGAATTGACTATACCTTGATATGAATTCAAAAATAACGTGGTCAGCTAACACTAACAATTAAATGGATCAAATTAGTGTCAAATACGAATAATAAAAGATTAACACGATTAACACATTTATCTAGTGGTGTATGAATAAAATGTTGTCATTTTATTTTATCACAGATTAACATGAATCATTGAATTTTACAAGAGAATTTTTTTTACTTGTCTTTACTATTATTAGTTGATGGATGCGTACGTTACACGTCAACTATTTTGACATATTTTTGTAAATAAATCAAAAATTATTTGTCATTTGTTCAATTGTCCAATTACATAACTTCAACATTATCATTTCATCAGATGTTCTTGAAAGGAACTTTATCTCTTATACACAATGTGAGGCTTACTATCATTGTAGTTTCGCACAAATAATGTTCTTCGTCAGACCATCATTGGAAGCCTCTTACAGCTAAACTAATCCTCGCTATAGGTTGGTCAAAACAAGAGAAAAAAAAAATGTTTAAAGGTTTTTTATTAAAGGTATTTGCCATTGAGTACGTACCAAATAATTTTATTAAAGGTTTCAATTATAATACTCACAGAGGAGTTTAGTTAAAACGATTCGTTATCACTAATACTACATGAAAAAAAGGTCTTTGAAGGCATTTGTTTTTGGCGTTGGGACAAACACCGACATTTCAAGCATTTTATTGAAAAAGTCCGGACCCATCCTTTTCTATCTAACATTTATTAACTTTCAAGGTCATTCCAGAAATTCTTTTCTTCTAGTATGATTTTTATTTTCTATCAACATGAACATAAGATGGGTCAAGCCCAAACAATCCAATTTATGTGAGAAGTCCAATCCCAATTGAGGAGCCCAACCTTATGAAAGATCCATCAAGCCCAACATAGTCCAAGACCAATCAAACTCTCTGCTTGGCTACGTCATCAAAAGGGAGAGCATGAGAGTCCTACCTGCACCGCAGAGGAAAAAGTCCACCATCACCTCATCTTTGACCGCATCTCAGGAATAGCTCCTCAACCTCTTTGTCCGTTGAGAAAAAATCGTGAGCTCCACCAGAGTAGTCGCTTAGTTGCTGTAAAGTAGCCCTAATCTATTAGGGAACCACTATAAATTGCACACCCCACCAATACTTGGGGGACATTGCACTTTACTTGACCACAATTCTCTCTTCTCCTTCAAAACTTGTATTATCTGCTCCCCACACCTTTAAACTAATAAAAAAATCCGGCGACCAAAGCCATTCAAGAGTGGACGTAAGTCACGTTGACCGAACTACTATAAATCTTGTCTCCTCCAATTCTCTCTTTACTTTTACTACATTTATTATTTACACTTAACAGGTGATATGTAAAATCATTTTGTGCATCATCAACATACATTATTTATATTCAAAAAGTATATGGATAATTGATTCTCATAAAAATTGCAAAAACCCTATATCCATCATTAATGGCTAACAAATGTCAACGCAATGAGTGATCCGACCATAAAAGTCTCAAGTACTAAAATCGACTATTATGTTATTGAAAAATTTTATCCTTTGAAAGAGAGATGATATATACCATAGTATTAAAATTCGGCCCAGATATCAACCCAGTGAAGGGATCGGGTCAATGGGTCATTGGTTCAACCGTTGGGTCATGGTCCAACCGATAATATAATAAAAAATTAAAAAATAATTATAAATAGGCTAAATATTCAAAGATCTGATTTTCTTGGAAATCTTAGCACCACCAGACTTTATTACACTACTTTCCCTCGACAATATCTCAATGCAAACATCCCAAACAAAAATTCCCGATTGTTATGTTCCATCATACATACTCACAGTCAAAGTTTCAGATCTGTAGCTAAAAATTTGCAAAAAAAAAAAATGAATACCAACCACAAATTCAAACAAATCAAAAATGACCCCAATTAGATAACACAATGAACTAATTTCTCTACAAACAACAATTAAATAGAAACCATAAAACTTCTGAATATACACATTTCCTACACTATTTTCCATCGACAATTCCTTAATCCAATCGTACATTTCTTCATTTTTATCAACAATACCTCAGTCTAGCTCCAGCCATTGAATCGTGATGATTGAGAACACGAAGCAAGAATTCAAAGGTTTGAACCTCAGACTCTTAGAGAACAAAAAAAGCTAATGTTTCAAGAATAGTTCGAAACATAGTTTTAAAAGGGGATCGCCAAAGTCGATTGGATTGGATTCAAAAGGGGATCGCTGGTCGTTGGAGTCTAGTCTGAAAATCGCTCGTCGCTGGTGTTTGAACTGGAGTCGTTGGTCGCTGCTGCTCGCTGGTGGAGGCTGGAGCTGGGCTGAGCTTAGTCATTGTTGCTAGTGTCTGGTCTGGTGGTTCGATTTAGGACAAAACAAAAGGAAAAAAAAGCCACAAAATGCCCAAATGATGAAAAGAATACCACATTTATACAAATGGAGTTAAACCGGTCGAGTTGGTAAACTCGTCTGGTTCTCACGAGTTTACTGGTTCAACGGGTTTATCCCAAGTTCTTTGCATAAACGGTCTTTTGTTAGAATCAGTCCGGTTAGGCGACAGGTTCACCGGATTGACCCGCTGGGTCGGACTGGGTTTTAAAACACTGATATATACAATTGATAGGTTACCCTCACGTATCAAATATTTTTCTAATAAAATATTTACAAAAAGATAACGGGCAACTAATAATGTTGTTCTCGATTCTCTAATTACAAAATAATCGGGCAGTGAAATAAATCAAAAAGATTATGAAAAAATAATGTGAAAAGTTTTAGTTAGACAACACTAAAAATAAGCAAACAATACTAACAAAAAGGGGGCGTGGGGGTGGGGGGAACTAGCAGTGATATTAAAATTGGACCGGATCGGTCAGTTCAATCGGTTGGACCTTGAACCGGTACTTAAAATGGTCCAATTTTCTAGTTAGACTGCATAAGAAACCAAATCAATGGGAAATCGCTGAACTGGCCGATTTTGGATCAAACCCGTAAATCGGACGGTTTGGCAAACCTGGCCGGTTGGAATTTCAAGCTCAATATTAAAAAAAAAAAACTATTATATATATATTGTGAGTTGAGATTGTGGGATTGGGAATTGATAATATTTTATTTCATTCAATAACATTGCTAATTAGAGAAAAGTCTAAGTATGCGTAATTTACAAACTTTCATCCAAGTCTCACACTCAATTTAAATTGATGAATCTAACCAGTAAAGCCAATGAATCGATTAAATCAGTTTGTCAAGGAAAATTCACGCAGATCATCTTCATACATAATAAATAATTATCATAGATATGTAGGAAGAAATCTATAGACAAAATTATAGTTCACCTTCTTTATACAATAACTTCTGTTTATCTTCTAAATTCATCAAAGCTTCCACTTATAACGATGATTTTGCTTATAATTTGTAGGATAAAAACTAAGCTTAAAATGTAAAAACAATCGGAAAAAATGATCCAAATTTTCAATGAATCTCAATGATCTGGTCGATCGCAACAATTTTGATGGTAGCTGCAAAAAAATATATATAAATCTTTGGCCTGGGGCCCATCCAAATTGCAAGCCAGAAGGGTCCGAGGAGTGAGAATATTTGGACATTTTTATAGGACCCAAAAATTTGGCGGGCCAACTTCTCACCCATTTTATTATGAGTTGGAGTTATGAAACTCCAAGAGTTATATAACAGTCGTGTTTTCTCAGTTGATAGTAACTCCCAATAATTATCATTGTATTTTGAGATTAAATATTCAATGTAAGCGTAACTATTTAGTTAAATAATTAAAAAATAGAAAAATTAGACCAATTTTCTTTGTATGGAAATAGTTATATATTATATGATAGTTATTAAATTTTATGGGGCTCACTTGCTCACTTATTAGTGAATTGTTACACAAAATGACACTGCTAACTTGA